GCCTGACGATTGCATATAGCTCACAACTTATGAAGGGCTTTATCTATGTAAAATATGTGTGATTTTTTTTCAAAAGTGCTCAGTGTCATGAGGCCATTTCTGACCTTAGGTCTCCGTTTGAGACACGGAAAGAAATGGGTATACACCAGAAATCAAAGGGAATAATAATAATAATAATCTCTAACTATAAAAGTCAGGATGTGTGTGTGTGTGTGTGTGTGTGTGTGTGTGTGTGTGTGTGTGTGCGTGTGTGTGTAACGAATGCACGGTCGCAATTTCCGACGGATTTGCACCAAAATTTACATGGACAGGCCATGACCGACTTTGCATTTCCCAACTCCCATCGATAGTGGAAATAACCGATATTTTCATGCTTCCACTTTTCATGTAGTTTGCGGACATTTTCTACTGACCAGAGTGAGGGCCTATAGCTGCCTGCCACGAATAGCCAAGAAGATTCTATTGGCTAGCGTGAGAGCCAACAGCTGACTGACACGAATGTTAACTAGCATGCTAGCATGCAAAAAAAATAGTTGCATTCGTCACAAGTGTGAAAAATTGAAATCTGCATTGCACTTTACTCCAATTGGCTCATTCGCTTGCTTAAACTCAACGTTGATTCTGATTCCGCAGAACTGGGTTGGGTGTGAAAAAAATTTGTTGTTAACATCCTTTTTCATTATTTTTTTTCCAGTTACGAGTCCTTTTTAAAGCTGATCGTTTTGTGTTCATTTTGTTTAGTTCTTTTTTTCGTAACAGATTTAATGTTTAGTAGAGAGCTTAGAAAAATATTCGCAGTGTGAGATAGGCAAGAAGTAAGGCATGTAGCAACATCATCACGGCAAAGGGCACTCCTGTAAAGGCAAGGAAGGGCAAAAATATTTTAAGTCAAATGATAGCGATTGCTGTATGAGTCGTACGATTTTTGAATCAAGTAAGGGCAACCCCGGACCATGCTGCTAGTAATAATAATAATAATAATAATAATAATAATAATAAGAAGAAGAAGAAGAAGAAGAAGAAGAAGAAGAATTAACGGGAAGGAAAGTGAAAAAATCTGGTATGTACATTACCCAAACCCGTTTACAGAGATAGGACCTTTAACAATTTCATGAGACTTTGCATTATATACAGAGCAATGAAACCTAATCGCCCAGACATTTTGATCAAAGATCGCAAAAACAGGATATGTGTTCTTATTGATATGGAAGCCCCTTTAAACTATAATATATCTTTGGAGATCTTTTAAAAAAAAACTATCAACTTACAAGGATCTATAAGTGGAAATCTCAAAAAAAAGGCACATGAGTATATCAATAATTCGTTCTTGGATTGATTGGAAAAAAGTTCCGATAGACTCATTGAACAAAATTCCTGGTAGCTCATGCATTAAGGAAAGGCAAAAAATTATTCTCACAACTACAGCTCATACCTTACGAAGGACTTTATCTATGCAAAATGTGTGTAATAGTAGGTTTTTTGTTTGCCATTTTAAACAAAAATCATCAGAGGACAATGTCATGAATCTGTCGGAGTTAACTCCTCCTTCAGTTCGTAACCCATTCACCAGGGGTCTCTCTTCCCTGGCTATAAATAGCCACTGACCTTTCGCCTCTATCTCTCTTTATCCTTCAGGCCTGTGCGCCGACACCTTGAGGTAAATCTCTTTTTTTTCCTGAGGCTTTCAGCTATCAACCTCGAATGTAGGCGCTAACAAGGGATAGCGTGGAAACACGCTAAGCACAATACACACGCACGCACATACAGAATATTCACACACACACGCACGCACATACAGAATATTCACATACACTTCACCTTTTGTACTGTTTCCATGTATTGTAACTTGTTATTAATATATTTGTATATACATATATTATCGGTCTTGTGTTTTGTTTGCTTTCTTTGCCTTCTTCTTTGGACTTAATTAATAGTCCAACCTTTTTATGTAGTTGGGCCCGGCGGGCAGGAGTATCTGAACCTTACATGCGTTTCTTCTACGTCTGACTTCACAACAGCACAGCCACGGCCCACCACAAATCCTTGCTCCAGGCAGGATGATCTCATTCTCTGGAGTAAGAGTTTCAACTGAAGCCATAATACATAGAGTCAAGATAAATAAGGCTTTGTATAAAAAGATTAACCTTTTGAGGATTGCGTTCCTAAACAATTTTAACCCTTCTACCTGAGATTCTGATTCAAAACTGACATCTAATATTTCACGGTAGAGAAAAAAATAGTTACAAGTCTTTAACCACCGTTCAACCGGTGGCTGGGTATTAAGTCATCTTTCTCGATCACTTTTCAACCGGTTGTTGGATATTACGGCATTTTTCTCTACCACCGATTAAGTGGTGGTCTGGGCTCAAAGGATTAACACCTTTTTAATCGAACCAGCCTTCAAATCAATAAACATTAAAGAATCATTTTGAACAATATATTTCCCATCAGGATTTTGGAAACAAATATTGAGGAGTCAATTTAGGGAGATCTCTGTTGGGTCTGGTTTTCGTAATTTTTTAAAAAGATTTAAGATTTTATTTTGAAAAAAAAACGATCTATATTTGAACAATATCAAATTAAAATATTATATTAATATAATACATTAGTTAGGCATAAAGTTTATCGTAAATTACATTATTTACATACAGAATATTTTCACCATCTTTATTGTTATTGTCAAAACCATTCGACCATTTTCTTGGTCGGCCTTCATAAGATGCTTGTCGATCCTTCAGATAATTTCTAATCGAATGAAATCTTTATATAATCTACAGGGGTAGATTGTATTCCGAAAACCATATCTAAGTATATCCCGTTTAGCTCTTATTTAATCCCTGTTAAGTTATTGAGTACCCACCGCTCGGCCAATGGATTCAACTTACAATCATATTATCACCACTTCTATTCCAACAATTTAATTTCTCGAACTTCCGGCCTGTGTAACTTCATGATTTGGCATCTTGATTTCAGTGACTTTTTCACCAACACGATATGGCTTCTCTCTGTTTTTTCTACAAATATTTTCATGGCAAATGCTGTAACGAGCTCTTTTCCATGGTGTCTCACTACATGATTACTAGATTGGTATTTAAGTCCAACCCTTTCACCTTGAGGACACATGGCACAGTGGATAAAAGCGTTGGTTAGATCCAGTGACAGACCCAAAGAAGGAGAGTTCAATACCTGGTTAAGGCAGTGGAGAACTTTCAGAGGGAAAATTAGCAGGAGATAACTGACATCTATCAAACATGGCACGTGGAACTAGAACAGTCTACCCCAGTGATCGAAATAAAGGGTTCAGTTCGAAATTCCAACCACCTGAAGAAGGCCGCAGCGTACAACGGCCGAAACGTTGTGACAAATATGGCGACAAAGATGAGGACAATAGTCCGACTAATGTAAATAGTGGAGATAATTTGTTTCGATTTTATTTACACGCTGCTTAGTTCCTGCGCCATCGTTCCTACTGAGTACTCACCGCTTGACCCATATCGGAGCATACAATTACATTATCACCATAAGAAATTTTATCGTATAGTTTCAATCCATTATATATATATATATATATATATATATATATAATAAGACCCTTGTTAGTACATTATTCATCCCCACTTGGCAAATCTGTCCCTACGTCTAATCTCACCACTCCACTTCATTGAAAATATCTTTGATCCGCTCCATTTGAAAAAATATCTCTCATCACATCCATACGACAAGGCTGTCTAATGGTCTCCCGACGAAAAAATCTTCTATCAGTTCGCCTCGATATATTTTTGCCCTCGAATTATTTCTCGTCGCAGCAATTAGTCTAAGGCCTTTCAGAACATTTGACAGCTTAATTAGAAGTCTAAGTTTATCACGGCTACGAGATCTGTCATTTGACACTACGCTAAAAGATATGTCCTTGTGCCAGACATATCTCAGTTCGTTATAGCCAAACCTATTTTAGTGTTTAAGGTAAGAAGGTAGGTCCGGATAAAACGTCGTGAAGTGTGTTTGTGGGTGCGGCAGAAACTGGGAAAGAGTTGCAAGCCAAGTCGGTTGCCGCGTTTAACAGAATTCTTGCCAATTCTAATGGCATTTTAAAATGTTTCTCAGAATTAAGTGAATGTAATTTTAAATGGTGTGCGTCACTCAAGACAGCAGTTGAGAGAGTGATATTAGACCCTCATCTATCACAGTTCTGAAACGAATATACGTAATCTTTTGTAAATGATTTGTTTTACTTGTGTTTCATTTCTTCATATTTTTCAATCTGTCTTGTCGCATGACTCATGCACATTATATAAGCAAAACTAGGTGATTATTATCAAAATAACAAATGCCACAACACAAGTTGCAAGCTACGAATGCAATCACAAATCCCGTAACCCCTTAGGGTCGGGTCGTAAGGTGACCAGTTCTACTGCAATCGCAACTGCAGTGGTGTTTCCTGGGTAAGACAATCTGTCGGAACTGAACCATCTCCAGGCTGGTTTGAATTCAGATTTTTTTCCATCCAAGGTTGTAGGACCTAGTCTTGTCTGCTACTTACCCATAGCTGGGTTGGATAGATTCATACATTTGCCAAGGCTCTGAGCCCGTAATTGAAAGTAACGAACTCGACTGGAATTCGAACTCGGCTCTCTGCTTACTCAATCCATTAGTCACTAGTCATTAATCCACGGTGTCATCAGATACGTATGAGAGGGCAACTAAATACACAGATTCAAATACTGGGAATTTTTTTAACAGAAGAAAGAAAATATGACACCGTAAACCGAAGTCACATTGAAATAGCTAAAGATGTCTTCGAAAAGCTAAGCATCGTATCAAGAATCAGGAAAATATCGTTAGCTACAAAGAAAAGAGCATTGCAGTTATACTAACTTACCCATAGCTGGGGGTGCAGATAGATAGATTCATACCCTTCTCTGTGATATTTTCGAGTAAGTGTATATAATGAATAAACAATCCCCCGCCACTCCCCATGACTATTCATGACATCCAAACTTATAGCATCTGGTATTCTCAAGCGGTCACCCATTTAGGTAGTGGCCAGGCTCGACGTTGGTTAACTTCGGGGATCGTACGGGAACCGCTAAATTGTGGAGAGCCATGATCGCAAACAACCTGAAGGAGCATAAAATACAGAAAAATAATTATTATTTAGAGTAAAATTATATATATATATATATATATATATGTGTGTGTGTGTGTGTGTGTTGTGTGTGTGTAAAATATTATATATATATATATATATATATATATTATAAAAATATATAAAAATATAAAAATATATAAATATGTAAAATTATATATATATATATATATATATATATATATATATATATATATATATATATATATATATACTATATATTATGAGTAAAAAGAACAGATCCGTTTCAATCGATTTTGGGACATTGGGTTAACTGGAGGTTTACTTGTTTTCCAGATATTGCCACCATTTTCCTTTTATTTCTTTTTTTTTTAAATATCCGACGGCATGTTGGACAGTTTTCTATATATTACATTTGAAATTTTCACTTTCCAAAATTTTTTTTTTTAATAAATGGCAGGAAGATAGGATTATTCTGACGTTAAAAGCATATTTGTAAATTAATTTGAATAACATTATGACTAATCATTATACAGTCTTTTATATAATATACACACACACACACATACACACACACACACATATATATATATATATATATATATATATATATATATATATATATATATGTAAAATGATGATAAAGTTATAGTAGTTCCAACGAGAGAAAAGGGTGGTTGTATAAAAAAGAAGAGAGAAACCGCAACTGTTTTTGGTTGTAATGTGGATGTTTCTAAAAAATATTATGTTTTATTTTCCATAAATTTGCTGAATGTTTCGCAACCTTTCCACATTTTATTAAAAATAATTAATTTTTTTTCTTAGGTTTTTCGATGTTAAATATTCTCGATATGATACATTCTCTTTTTTGTGTGTTAGTGACCCAAATGTCTTTCCTGAACTATATATATATATATATATATATATATATATATATAGTCGAATTCATTTACGGTCTTTTTCTTTTTGTTTCCACCATTTTGTTAGTAGGTATCCTATATTAAGTTAACAGATCTGCCAGGAATGGTGAAATGCTGTAAGAGCCAGGGCGCAAATTTTCTGCACATAACCCTACGATCAAGGCTGTCTCTAGGCATTTATATCGTAGTGAATTGTTTTCTCCTTTGATCAGATTATGTATTATGTTATAATTGTTACGCCGAAAACGTATGCATTTGACGTATTATTTTGTAAAATATTCCTTTTGTGTTCATATAATCTTTTATTTAGATTCCTTGAGATTTCTTCTAAGTATCTCGGTGACAATTATTACAGGAGACAAAGTAAACTCCTCATTCCTCCTTATTGTTTTCTTTAGTATTGACTAAGTCATTTATTGTTTTGGATGTAACAGTAACAAATTTTATGTTGAGTTTAGATAGATTTTTTCGATTATACATAAGATATAATTATTTTTTTATTCTATTAATGAAATTAATTTGAATAACATTATCGATAATCATTATACAACCTTATATATAAAAATGTAACACACACAACACAAAAACACACATATGCACACACACACACACACACACACACACATATATATATATATATATATATATATATATATATATATATATATATAATCCCTTGTACAAATTAATTGAAACAAAACCAATAATTCCTTATTCTTTTTATTTTTTTATATTTTTTATTTACATGAAACATTACCCAGTGCACATGTTAGTACTTAGCATGTTTATTTCACGAAGTCTTTCCCTGCAGATTGACCACAGATTCTCGATTTGATTTAAATCAGGAGAGTTTCCGCGCCAATCTATAATACTTTGATTTGCTTACTGTTAAGGCTTGCCAGTGTCTTCGAGCACCGTTATAATTTTCGTACGTTTCCTTCGAGTAACATCTATCGCAGACAAAGGCCGTAAAACAAATAATCGACAGTCGAGACAATAGTGTCTGGGCGTGATAAAAATCACCCCGAAAATAGATTCATATTACTGCAAACCACTGCAAATGATATAATCCGAGGAAAAAATAGAAATCGATTACACCCTGTCACTCCAGTGGTTCTAAAACTGAACGTATCTGAAAGGAAGGAAACTAAATCAGTTGATTCAATTAATTTATACAAGGGTGTATCTTGGACAAAAATATTTCAATATATTCCGGTATATCTGTTTAATAAATTAATTAAACTGGGACGTCTATTTTAAATAAGAAGTACCCACTATAAGGTCCGAAATAATAAAAATGTCAAAAATAAATAAATTTTTAAAATATTTATTTTTTTATCAAGGGTTTTTCTTTTATATGACTTTCTATAAAATTATGCCACATTTCACATAGAATATTTATTTTATTGTATAAAAAGAATAAATAAATAAAGATCGCATGTTCGAAAGAATACACGAAACCGCATACCCTCGATCTGGCGGACGTTAATTTGACGGAATCCATAATAATAAGCATTTATCTTATGTAGGAAAAAATTACTATTGTCTTCTTATCAAATTAGTCTCGTTTAGACAAGGTGTGATATACGTAATATATGTATTTTTATATGTAATATGCAATGCAGTAGCTTCTTAGTAAACATTATTCGGATAGATGGATGAAGAATTTTACGAGTGGGCTCTTCAAGGCTATACTACATGATGGCAAGATCGGAAATACAAATAACCTAAAAGAATGCATTTAAAATGCAATTACGCACATGAGGGTGGGGGTGGGGGGGTGTGGCTAATGGGAGTTTGTTATGAGAAGGAGTGTCGTATGTGGATCTCTTTACAAAGTGACGCCAAACATATCCAGTGCAAGTTAAATCATCGCCGGGTAACAGTTTTTTCCCTGTGTGTCAAGACCAGCCACTTTGTCTATGGTAAATAATTATTCATATATGATTAATATGTTATTAAATGAACATAAAATGCAATATTATTTCTTATTTAAAATACTATGATAATTATCGCAGATACTCGTGTATATGTCGAATTCATGTGTAGCGCGACGCTTAATTTTTCTTATAGCACATGTATAATGCAACCCTAACCCCTGGGCGATATTAGTAGGCTGTTGTCTAACATTGCAGTACAAGGTATCATCCTTTGAGGGCCGGATTTAGGTGAAGTTGGCCAATAGACTATTTCATCCAAAATCAAATCTCCCGAGTTGAGGCGAATGGATGAGTGTTATTTTAAACAATTTGAGTAAAGCCGAGGAAGATAAGGAGTGTTTAAAATTACTAAAGGTTGTTTTTTTTAGAGTCTACAATGCGTTATGACAGCCCGTATGAAAAAAAGCCTCTGCCACTAATTCAAAAAAATAATTCACATGTAGTGGAGGAGGCTCTAAAAGATTTTCCAAAAAATATTTAGCCTTCCACTATGTCGATAAGCAATCCGCCATTGATTCTAGAATAATTTATAAATTATCATCAAAATTTTTGCAAAAAATATCCCAAAATGGTGAAAAAATCAATCATGAAAAAATATGAAAATCATAATAATGAAAAATTTAAAAAAAATTAAATAACGTACTTTGTCAAAAAAGTAGAAGGATTAATGGATAACGGCTCGGAAAAAGGAATTGGAGAAGAGTTTATCCAAATATTTATGATTTTTATCTATTTAAAAGGAAAGGTTGTTTTTTCTCAGTTGGTAAATGTTTGACAAGGCCGAGTTTGTAGCCTTGGACAAGATGTTGGTGTTACAACAGAGTAAATGGCAACCCTAATGTTTGAAAATCGCTTTTCGTCAGAATATATGGAAAGAAAATTGTTAATCTTTATTCATGGCACGTAACTGACTGACATTTGTTTTCATTCATTTTTTGATCGTTTGGTCTAATTTAACCTGGAGCCTGGCTTTTACGTAACCTAAGTATCTTCCCTTTTGTCGCTACATAAAAAATTTGTATTACCCAAATGATTCGAAATTTAAAACTTCCTCGAGAATATAATCACCTTTATAAAAATTGATCATCAAAATGAATGATTTTTCATTTTAAAAATAGTTAGCTGTATGGCACCTTGCATTATTAGAAATATTCATAGAAATATGATTTAATTTTTTTTTTTATTCGGTTTATTAAACAGGTTGTTAATTTTTTTTTAAAACGGAAAATAATTGAGTTGAAAATAATTCACTAAGATTGTACTTAGACGATCCTAAGGAAAAAGAAGGAAAAAAAAAAAAAGGAAAAGAAGAAGAAAAGAAGAAAAAAAAACAAAATGACGCATGACCCGGTTGATGGTGGAGATAGAGTCAGAAAGATATATTTGGTCAAGCATGTTGACCGAATTTTTAAAGACAATTGGAAGAATAGAATTAGAAATAATAAAAAAAGAAAGAAAGGGAAAAGACATGATAAAACGGTCTTTTGATTGAAAACCAGATATCGGTCAAAGCATCTAGCCTACTTTTTGCATGGAAAGACACCTTATCAATTTGGATAAAGAGGAAATTTTGGGAACAATGAAACGAAATTTTTAATCAGAGAAAAAGTGTCTTTGGGTTTGGGGAGTGACCGGTGGAACGATATACAGATTCTGACCTGTTAAGAATTGGACACCCACGTTAATAAAGTAGAGACATTTTCAATTAGATAATTAAGATTTTTGACTATCAGGAAAAACAAAAAAAAAAAAAAGGGACAATTGTTTTTGGCTCACAGATGGCGAAAAGATTCCTTTCTAAAGTCAAGACTAATTAGCGGCGGGCTGTTTGACAAAGTCCAGGTGAGAGAAAGCTAAAGATTGTCATTTTTCGTACGTGCAAAAAAGGCAAAAATTGGATTTTTTTTTTTAAAAAACAAGAACGATGTAACCACGCCCGCAAACAAAAGGATGGATCAATAACAATTGGTCGAAAACGGATGCGGAAGAAAAGGAAAGAAAATGTTTCGATCAATAACAATTGGTCGAAAACGGTCACGTGACCTGCGGAAAGAAAAGAGAAAGAAATGCTCGATCAGGAACCATTGGTTGAAAAGCGGTCACCTGACATACGAGAGACTAAGAGAGATGGATGTGCGCCGCCCCA